ATGAATTCTAAAGATCCTGTATCATGTTCTTGACTATTACTGTTGAACATGAATCATGAATTACTGATTAAATCGCTTACACTTTCTTCTTGCAGCTCATTGTACATTTTGGCATTTTTTTTTTCAGTCAATATTTATTGGTTTGCATTGACTTTTTTTTTTTTTTATAAATCGAGTGTTGCTATCTCTCTTGAGCAACACTCACAAGATAGTCTTCCGTGCACCATGAGCAGGTGCCCCTTTCATTTCATTGGGAGTGGAAATTTGGACAAAAAAATTTATTTTCTCTTTCCTCTATATATAATTCTTGTTTTTGTTTTGAAATATTTACTGTTCCAAAAATTAAATTTTGTTTTATTTTATTTGTTAGATTAAAAAATTTGAACTTATTAGGAGAATGAGAAGAGTTGGAGTAAAGAATGAAAGAATTTGGAAGTGAAAATGAGAGAGTTTGGATGTTCAAGGAGAAAAGGATAGATAAAGTCAAAAAGCATATATTATAAGCAAACTATTTTCTTCTTAAAAAAAATATTATTATTTTCTTTTTTAAAAGATGGAAACATGTGTACTCTCTTCTTCCAACTAGATTCATTAGAATTGCGTTTTGGCAGTGATCACAAAAGAGGTATTGTGGTTTGGTAACGTTATGCAATAAAATATTATTGGCATCAAATGAATCATAAATTTCGCAGTGTTGTTCAGTTTGAGATACTGGGCTAACGCAGGTGGTCTCTGATTGATGCTTGCTCTGGAACTTTTTTATAAGTGTTGATAGCAACAGTTGAACAAAAAGAAAGAGTGTATCTATGCTCAACTCTGCAAGAGCTTTAAAGGATGATCTAATTATGATGAGATGCTATAGTTTGAGAGATAAGAGTATTTGTTTGAGAAGTATAAAACCCCACGTCGCCCTCATTTTCTAGTGGAATTAAGTATATAAAGAACCAATTCAACTCAATCCTTTGGATGAGGCAACATGGACATTGGATAGACCCACCTACCTGTACTAAGAAAGTACACAATACTAAATTAATTATCAATTAAATAGGGGACAGTGAAGATCGAACTCATGACCACTTGATCACGAAGGCTCTAATATGATGTAAAGAACTATTTCAACCTAAAACCTTAAGGTACTGAGTGAGGCAACATTAATAATTTTATATCTCTCTAACACATCCCCTCATGCAAAAGTCTTTCGATTTAAACCATGAATATTACACATAGGGGTGTAAGTGGGTCGGGCCGGCCTACAGGAGCCTACGACCTATATTATATCAGGCCAGACTCGATTTATTACAAATAGTCAAATAGAACAAGTCCTAGCTTTTAAAAAGGCTCTAATATGATGTAAAGAACTATTTCAACCTAAAACCTTAAGGTATTGAGTGCGGCAACATTAATAATTTTATATCTCTCTAACACATCCCCTCATGCAAAAGTCTTTCGATTTAAACCATGAATATTACATATAGGGGTGTAAGTGGGTCGGGTCGGCCTACAAGAGCCTACGACCTATATTATATCAGGTCAGACTCGATTTATTACATATAGTCAAATAGAACAAGTCCTAACTTTTAAAAAAATCTATTTAGAAAGTAAGTCATATGCTTTCTTTTACATGTCGGGCCTATAAACTTACAGGTTGACCTATATCATATTATTTATTTTAAATAAAATAAAATAATATTATTCATAGTAGTACCAAATGGTGATAATTTAGTTAGTGCATGTGAACTTAGTAGGTGGTGGAAGGACTTAGATTCGATCCCCCACCAATACTATCTTTGGGAGTGACATAAGATTTGTACCAATCTCCACAGTAGCATCAAAATCAATATTTAGTGCCGGAGGAAGAGTTATTGATGCTTATCATTTTAACTTGGCTGAATATATGATCCAAGCTTTAGCATATGGTAGAGATTGGCTACGTAATAAGTATCGCTTGAAGAAAAAACAAAAGGTATAAAAAAGGTTTGTTTTTAATCCTTTTTTTTTCTTTCTATTCTTTAATATTTTTTTCTACATCTACAAATTGTTTGCCAACTTATGTAATATTGGAATTGTATTTGCAGAGAAGACAAGATGATGAAATTTTTTTGGCTACTACAAGCATCATGGTGCATTTGTTGGATTCATGTAGTTATTTTAATTTACATAGTATGGATTGATTTGTTAGATCTGATGAAATATATGTTATTTAGTTTGGACATTTTGCTTCTGAAAGTAACTTAAATGCAGATTGTGATAAGTTGTTGTTGTTGTTGTTATTCATGGTTTTATTTGAACGTTGAAATTGTGGTTTTTGTTTTAACAATAAAATTTGAGTATTTTGTGAAGTTGATTCATGTTCTGCTTGGAAGTTAAAAATTAATAGGCTAACGGGTCATGTCAGGCTATTTATTTTTTATAAATGGGTCAGGTCAAGCTAATTGTTAGACTCATACTATGTTATTGGACCAGGTCAAATTGAAATTTTTTGGTGTAGGTTTGGGCTTTTCAGGACAAAACTCGACCAAGTCCAACCCACTTTCACCCCTAAATTACTTAGACCCAATTTTTGATTTACCTTGTGCTTACTTAATTCCACCACAAAGTGGAGGTGGTGAGGATCGAACTCGTGACCTCATGTATACTGAAACTCTGATACCATGTAAACAATCAATTCAACTCAAAACTTAAGTTGTTGGATGAAGGTTATTTTAATGATTTATATTATTCTAACAAAAAAGGCACGACAACTGTTGTTTAAACAAAAAACTTAGGGCGCCAGGGGAGGATTCTATGAGTTGCGTGTGGAGAGTGTGTGCAACAAATATGGTGGTGCCATATGGCAATCGTGCATCCCCTATGTGCAACAAATTATGCATCCATCATGATTGCATTATTTGGCTTTTCGACCCATGTAATGCAAAATCAAAAACATATTACTTGTTTAATTCTTTAGGCAAACTATTTATCAATCTAATGCAAGTGAAATATTTATGGAAAGTGTGCATATTCAAGTTGCACATATCATCCCATGCACGACTTGTATAAAAGACAAAACACATCTGCCATGTGTTGTGTGCTCTGTAAGACGTGCATGAGGGATGTGTGCAACTTGAACACACATTGTCAGGATGCGCATATTGTATTATGCTAACTTTTGCACAAGTCGTGCAAGACTTAAACGCGAACACTCCTGATGCACATTTTACTCGCATGAAATTGATAAATAGTCTGCTAAAAGAATTAAACTAGTATTAAAGGGGGACAGTTCAAGTAATACATATTTGATTACGCTTAAATAAGATCTTGGGTTCAAGTAATTGTGAATGCAAAAAGTTCGGGAAAAAAATTAATTTAATGCTTTTTAATAAATTAATATACATTTATGGCAGTTTTGAAATAATTACACATTTATTGCACAATATCACGCCCAATTGGGGCGTCACCAATCACGCCTAAATTGGACGTCAATCAAGAGGCAATCACCCCTAATTTAGGCGTCACACCAATCACGCCTAAATTGGGCGTCACTCAAGAGGCAATCACGCCTAATTTAGACGTCACTCATCAGGTGTTGACATGTGTCACATTCTTTTTCCAAAAGAAAAAAAATTAACAATTTAATCGTAAAACTTCTGAAGGCCATAACTTTTGACTCGGGTATCCAAATCAGGTAATTCTTTTTTTGATTCCACATAACTTTTCGAGATCTACACAATGACATCTCATTTGAAATATTTTATTTCTCACAAAAACAATTTAAATTTGCAAGAATGATATTATAAGAGCGGTTAAACCAAAAAGTATCTGAGTTTGGTTTGTGATTTAAATTAAGAATAACAATTATTATTAATTAGGAAAACAAAATAAAGATTTGATTTGGATCTAAACTCAAAAATCAATTTGAAAAACTGTATTAATAAAAGAAATTATTAAATAAATATTCTAAATCTCTAAGGAAAAAAGATTTTATTTTTGAAAAACATTCCTAAGCCATTATTAATTTCAGACCACGAATCAAATCACAAATGAAATTTTTATTTATTTTTTAATTTAAATCATAAATCAAATCTTTATTTATTTTTTATATTAAATCACAAACCCAGAACTTAGAGGCTTCTGAAATTAACCGGTCTTATAATATCATTCTTGCAAATTTAAAATATGTTTGTGAGAAATAAAATATATCAAATGAGATGTCATTGCGTAGATCTCCAAAAGTTATGTGGAATCAAAAAAAGAATTACCTGATGTAGATACCCGAGTCAAAAGTTATTGCCTTCAAAAGTTTTACGATTAAATTGTTATTTTATTTTTTTTGGAAAAAGAATGTGACACGTGTCAACACCTGATGAGTGACGCCTAAATTAGGCATGATTGCCTCTTGAGTGACACCCAATTTAGGCGTGATTGGTGTGACGCCTAAATTAGGCGTGATTGCCTCTTGATTGACGCTCAATTTAGGCGTGATTGGTGACGCCCAAATTGGGCGTGATATTGTGCAATAAATATGTAATTATTTCCAAAACTGCCATGAATGCGTAATTAATTTATTAAAAAATATTAAATTAATTTTTTTGTCCAAAAAGTTCCCTTAAGAAAGAGCTAGCCCCACCACGATATGGATGTTTCCGACTCAAACATGATTATTTCTTGTAAAGGATAATTGTGGTTTATTTAAAAAAAAAATTAAACTGGCAATATGTTAAACAAAAATTTAAATTATTTCCTCAAGAATTAAAAAATTATTATTAAATTATTGCATAATTTTAGAAAATAATCTTAAACCTACATTAATTGGGTAATTTATCTTAAATTTACATTAAATATGTCATTACAAAATTATTGACCTGCATACCTTAAATGAAAAAAAAAAACTTTTTTTTTCTTTTTCTTTTTCTTTTTCTGAAATAAGAGTCTCTCTACAGTACACTCTACTCACTATCTATTTTGCTTTTCCATAAAAACGACGTGGCGTTTGCCAATATTTTCACTCATCATTTTCATTACAACTTTACAAGCGAAGGGGAACATAACATACATAACTTCTGTCCCCGACTCTTCTCTGGTCCATTTCATCGATCGGCTCGGCTCGGCTGGACCCTCGAAGCCGCCAATCGCTGCGGCAGCTCCGGCCACCGTCTCATCTCCATCCTTCTTCTTCAGGTTTCTTTCTTTATCTCTTTCATCATTCATTTCCCCTTTTTCCCTTCATTTTACTCCAACCAAAAATCTTCGTTAGTTTTTATTTTTTCATTTTTTTTTTAAAGAAAAAAACCTAATGTCTCTGTTGTTTACCTAGGGCCAAATTCGATGATTTGAGCGCGGTAGATCTGAATGATGTAAATTAGGTTTCCTCGCCATTTTTGTTTTTGATCATGATTTGTCAGATCTAGCTAGTAAATCATGAAATAAATGACGAGACATTAGCTAGATTGGCGATGTGAGCTGCTGTATCGTATATGCATGAGTTCTCCTATGAATTTCGTTTAGTTTGAGCAGTAATCATCTCTTTGTTGTACGATGCGCGTTTTTTCAAGTTTTCAAAGACGGCTTGTTTATATTATTTCTTCTGTAATGTTCTGCGATTTGAAGAATGGCATTTGAACTGTGGAATTCTATCCTAAAAAAAAAATAAAAAATAAAAAATAAAATGTTTAAAGCTGGAAATGTTTTTTTTTGCTGATGGTGACAGATCTAACTAGGCTAAAAACTGGTTATCATGATTTGGTATTCCTTAATTATTAGTTATGTTTTTAGTACCTCAGTTAATTATTGATTGAAGGAGAGGAAAAGAATGTTTGTGTTTTGTGTTTTTAATTTTTTTTATCTGGGTCCAGACTCTTACTGACGTTGAGTTGTCACTGTCTTTTGGTTGCTATTGCAGTGTGTTTTGGTTTAGTTGCAAAGTTTTAGACTCTGAGAGGGAGATTGTGAACTTAGAAAGATGGTGAAGTTGACTATGATTGCTCGTGTTACTGATGGTCTTCCACTAGCTGAAGGACTGGATGATGGTCGTGATCTCAAAGATGCCGAATTTTACAAACAGCAAGTCAAGGCTTTGTTTAAGAATCTCTCAAGAGGGCATAATGAGGCATCAAGGATGTCGGTTGAGACTGGCCCTTATGTTTTCCAGTATCCTTTTCGTAAATATTCCATAATATGTCTGTGGTAGTCACGTAAGAATTGCTTGATTATCCTACTTGTTCTGCTATTATATTGTAAGGTACATCTAGTATTGAGTGTGGTGATAATCTTGAGCAATACTAATTGTATGAAAGATATAATGATGTCAGACAAATTAATGAGTGATTGCTAATTTATTAGAACTGTGGAGATGTCTATAGTTTGATGTTATTTTATGTGTTGTTGTCTTCCTGTTAGTGCTGGGCATCACATCCTCAGATTTGAGATGCTTGCCCGGGCATTCCTTTGTTCGTTAACATGTTTTTTTGTATCATTATATCTACAAATCTTTGGGTATTGGGCACTAGATGAAGCTATGGTCTGTTTTCTTTGTTTTGATAGATATCTCATTTGTGTATTGAATCAAAATTCAGATGGTGGAGCTTTTATATATGGTATGCATGTGAAAAATGGGATCCTATCCTGTTGCTACATAACCTTGCTTCTGAAGCAAGTTGATTAGTTACTTGTCTTCATCTGTCTTTGAATTTTGAGATCTATTATATGTTTGCATTAACTTTATTCGGAAGAGTCTCATAGCCTAAAATGACCTTGACAGAACCTTAGTTATATTATAGAAGGACGAGTCTGTTATTTGACAATGTGTGATCGTGCATACCCTAAGAAACTAGCCTTTCAATATCTTGAAGAGCTCAGGAATGAGTTTGAGCGTGTTAATGGGTCTCAAATTGAAACTGCTGCCAGACCTTATGCCTTCATTAAGTTTGGTATATATCAATTCTGATACAGCCATATATCATTTATCATTTCTAGTATTTTTCTCCTTTTCCACTGGTGTTTAATCTACCTTTTTTTTCCTTTTAAATGTTTAAAAGACACATTTATACAGAAGACAAAGAAACTTTACCAGGATACCCATACTCAGCGCAATATTGCTAAGTTGAATGATGAACTCTATGAAGTCCACCAGATAATGACTCGAAATGTGCAGGATGTTCTTGGTGTTGGTGAACAGTTGGACCGTAAGATATTCCTTGTATTTTCTGAATAATTTTAGTTTTAGCATTTTCTCTGCTGATTGCTTGGGATGCAGTATTAGTTACAACCTCCTTAATTTGAATATAATATGAAATTTGAGGCCTCTACTTTGTATACATCCACTGTAGTTGGGTTTGCTGATTGCCATCTTTCTTTAATAAATTCATTTATTTATTAAAAAAAAAAAAATGAATCATGGGTTTGGTGCTGTAATATGGCTCCCTCCCCGGTCCCCCTGCTAACATTTATTTTGTATTTCAGATTGATTGGCATACATTTGTCTGCTTACTTGGTTGGTCTTAGTAGTAAACTAAGCTTAGTTCAGGTTAATATCAATTGACTTGTCAGACTTTTGGCGTGAAAAGAGATAAAGATGCCATAGTTAACAATGTCCAACATCCTGTCCTTTCTAAACTTGTCTATGACATAAGTTTTTCTGATAGAAATCTTTATTAGTGCCTGTTTGGATCCTCTTATTTTTAAGCTAGAAGCTACTTATAAGCATAAGCTAGGCCAAACAGGTTTTGAAAAAAGCTCTTATAACGAAAAGCTCTTTTTTTTATAATGAAGAAAAAAGCTGAAAATTAAAAGCTCCTAGGAGGAGCTTTTTTTTAAGCTCTTATCTGTTTTTCTTGAATTGTGTGCTTTTTTTTAAAATGAAGAGTGATAAAGATAGAGAGAGAAATAATTTTCTTGAAATATGTGCTTTTAACTAATTTTTAAGCTAAATTTTTTATGTAATTTCCAAACAGCTTTTAACTTTTTTTTTTAAGCTCTTTTTTTTAGCTTTAGCTTATAAGTAGCTTCTAGCTTAAAAATAAGAGGATCCAAACAGGCTCTTAGTATCTCACAAATTGCAGATATGATCTCCAGTTAAGGGATAATTACCATTATAGGCTAAAGATTTCTTTGCCTTTTGATAATTTGGGAAAGGCTGCTGTTGTGAAAAGGCAATCATAGTGTGTCCTGGTTAATGTTAAATAGAAGGAAAATAAGATGATTCTCAAATAGGATGTTGGTTTTATCTAGATAAATTAACTTCAAATGTTTTGATCTCCTGTTCCTAGTTTCTTAACCTGGACAAGAGGTTATGTTTAAAGATTTCTCTGAGAAACTTCTGCTAAATTTTTATAGTTCCACACTTTCACCTCCACTACCTGATAGATGATCTCCTCTTATTTCCACTTCTCATGCAGCTTCAATTTCTTTTTGTATGTTTTGGTATGTTTGCTGTTACTTTCTTATGGAGTATGGAATTTATGTTCTATATTTGATTTCAAATTATAACATGCAGAGGTCAGCCAAATGTCCAGTCGTTTATCATCAGAATCTCGCATATATGCTGATAAGGCTAGAGATTTAAATCGACAGGTTAGTCATTTTCAGTTTTACTGCATCATGCATCTAATGATTTTGGTAATATAGCATTTTTTCCATTCTGGACTTTGATGCATGTTAATTTGGTTCTGACCTCTGGAACTGTCCTGCTGCAGTTGAAAATTGCTTTTAGCTAGGAATTGATTTTATAGTTTGGATAGAAGCATGCAATGTGCGGATTTTGTCTTTGAGCTATTATAATCTATGCATTTTCTATTGACTTTTACCTAGATATCACTACACGGATTTGAAACATGTCACTTTCTTTGCTTTTTGGATATACCTCTTTCCATTAGCTGGGAATATAAAGAAGAGAAATTGTTCTATTCATAAATCTGGTGCTGTGTTTCTGTTAGTTTAAAATGTTCCACCCTTATATAACCTTTTTTTATGTGCTAGTTTCAGTTTGTGTATCATGTGGTTAATTTGTAGCATTTGGTTGTCAGATAGAATTTATAACGATGGGCTATCATCAAATGACATACATTTGATCAGTTTATGGTCTTTTTATTTTTAAAAATTCATGAACATGGCATGGACTGCCTATGCCGACAGATAATGTATAGGTTAATATATTTAGTTTCTCCGAGGTTTCTATGTGCAGGTTAGCAATATTTCTTATCACAATTACTTGGGTAATCTGTTGTGCCAACCCTATAGCCTGTTTACCATTTTTCTTAAATTACAATGGTATTTTCCAGTGTGTTTGTATACTTTAATACAGAGAATGTTCTATTATTGTTGGATGTCAATGATAAGTTGATGGAGCTGATATAACCCTGCCTAGTGTTAAAAAGTGATGAGTTCCTTTGAAGCATCTGCCTTACATTTCGGTTCTAGTTATATTCAGCATTGCGGATATATAATTTAAAATCAAATATTTCCTGTAGGCTCTGATTCGGAAGTGGGCCCCTGTTGCTATTGTTTTCGGAGTTGTCTTCGTACTTTACTGGCTCAAAAATAAACTTTGGTGATCGAGCTCTATATGACATTTTAAACCTGGATTGTGCTGCTGAGGCTTCTTGCTTTTCTCCCATGACTATCCAGATTTGCATGGACTGGTGGCGAACCCTATAAGCATGAGATGATGTCTACCTTTTGTGGACAACTGGTTTAGAAAAAAACACTATCCTCTGTTACCTCTGAGCATGGCTGGATCAGGCTTTCTGGAATAGTAACCTTTTTACCTTTATATTAAGGAGCCACAAGATATGAGAAAACTTGATGTCCTTGGGGATGCATATAGACTTTTCTTCTTACTAATTACCAATTATTTTCAGGATTATTGCGTTAATGAGTTAAATATACTACCCCTTCGATTTTATTGTTTCCATTTGAGCAGCTGAATTAGAATTGCGTTTTACATTGTTGTTAGTAATAGTATAATGAGTGCTGTTGAATGCCTGTCCTTAGAAAGTTAGACTGGTGAACCTTCCTTATTTTTTTTCATTTTTACATTTTACTTGATCCTTACAAATGCTATGACGAAAATCTGCTGGATCCTACATCTAGCTTTTTAAAGGTGGTACTGTTACTGTTGCATTCGAAAGAGCAAGGTAATTTATAGTTTCTCTGTACTATGTTGATACAGAACTGTTATTTTAGGCTTTGTTTGGGAGTTTGGTGTGGAGGGGAAGGAAGGGGATACAAGGGAGGGGAAGGAAAGGAAAGAAATTGAAGGGTATTCTCTTTCTTTGTTTGGGAGTTAAAAAAATGATAAAGGAGAAAAATTGATGGTTAAAGCGATATTATTACTATTTTACCTTTTTTTAAATTAATATAATTATTATATTTTACAAATTAAATAAAATTTAAAATCTCTAACAAAATTATGTATGTACTTTTCACAGCACCAAAAAAGATCATATTTTTGATGAAATTTTTACGTTGCAAACGATGAAATTTCATCACAATTATTTTTTTCGTCGAAAAACGACGGAATTTTTCAATCGAGGAAAATTTTGACAAAAATAAATTTTCTATCGAAATTTTCAACAAAATTTAGTTTTCATCAAATGTTTTAAACGAAAAAAGAATTCTATAAAATTTTTTGACAACATTTTTCGTCCAAAATTTTGATGGAAATGTGTTCTGACGAAAATTTTGACAGAAATTGTTTTGTTAGAAATTTTGAGAGAAATGTTTTATTCGAAACTTTCGACGAAATTTAGATTTTGTAAAAAAGTTTGACATAATATTTTTCGTCAAAATTTTTTACGGAAATATTCTCTGTCAAAATTTTTGACAGAAATGCGTTCCGTTGAAAATTTTGATTGAAATATTTTTTATCAAAAATTTTGACGGAAATATTTTTCGTTGAAAATTTTCGATGGAAATGTATTTCGTTAAAAATTTCAACTGAAATTTTTTTTGCCAAAATGTTTAACGAAAATATTTCCGTTGAAATTTTTTGGCGGAATTTAAATTCTGTTAAGAATTTTGATGAAATTTTTTTTCGTCAACAATTTTCGATAGAAATGTGTTTCGTTGAAAATTTTGATGGAAATATTTTGCGTCAAATATTTCAATGAATATGTTTTTTGTGAAATATTTTGGCACAATTTAGATTCCGTAAAGAATTTTGACAAAAAAAAATTTCGTCAAATTTTTTTACAGATATATTTTTAGTCACAAATTTTGATGGAAATATTTTCCGTAAAATTTTTTGACGTAATTGTTTTACGTCAAAACTTTTCGATGAAAATGTGTTTCATCAAAATTTTGGACGGAAATATTTTCGTTAAAAGTTTCGACGGAATTTAGATTCTATCAATAATTTTGACTGAATATTTTTTTTCCGTACAAAATTTAGTAATTTACGTTCGTGAGTATGGCAAAATCTGGTCCGTCTCTAATTTTTTCTTTAGTTTTGACGGAAATATTTTTCGTCAATAAATTCTGTCGGTATTTGAGACTTTTCTAATAATATCGCATTTAAAAATGATTCACAATTATGTAGTTTTAACATTGGGTTTTATATTTCTCATTCAAAGAATTGAATTCTATGTTGTAGAGACAAAAAAACATGTGGGACCCGTATGTAAGAAAAAATTATGTGTAGGACTCACGTTGGCACGGAAATCGAAGGGTGTGTAGGAAAATTCAAATTCTCATGTTAAATGAGAATTATAAAACCTTTAACATTTTAATGCTAAGGGTAAATAAGTAATTTTAAATATTTTTCCCTTCAAATCCTCCAAATTGGGAGAACTTTAATTGTAAGAAGAATGAGGGTTTTGGAGGGTTTAGTAAAAATTCTCAAACTCTTCCCCTCCTTTTTTTAAAACTCACAAACAAGGGAAGGGCTTACTAAAACCCTCTATTTCCTTTCTCTCCTAAAACCAACTCCCAAACAAAGCCTTAAGGAATTATTGTTCGTGTATAGTTAATCAACCATTTGTTATCATTAAAGATGCACATAGTATTTTTTTTTAATTAAAAAATGTTTAATTTTTGTTATGATAATTAGATAAGATTTTCAAATTGAAGTGGTTTTATTTCTTAGAAGATAAAAAAGGTGAACTTTTGAAAAAAAAAGTATTTTGATATTTTTTCAAGAGTGAGTATATTATAACTATAAAAAAATTTCACAACTAACTTACTACCCATCACATCACCATTGGATCAAAGAGAGAGAATATTAAAAAGTGTTTGAAGAGAGAGAAAATGTTAATCTAACGGTGATTAGATAGGTAGTAAGTTGGTAGTGAAAAATTTTAGTAATGAGAATATTCTCCTCTTTATTTCAAAGCTTATGTAAATACACTTGTTTAAAATAAAGTGTAAAAGAAAAAAAAAATCCATCTTTATGGATGAATGTTTTGCGCTGATCTTGCGAATGAGAAATAATAGGAGCTTTGCGTACATTGTGTCGAACAGTATTGTCCGCCGAAGGACACATGGATTGTCATGGCTACAATTGGTCACAACTTTAATCTCAACATTAAACTTTTCTATAAGCTTTTTAGCTATAGTCAAAAATCATCTTTCGAATCTATGCACGCGTTGTAACAGTGGTAACGCTAGGAGTGTTAATGGGTTGAGCTGAATCAAGTTTTGATCTTAAAATGTTAAGTTTGTATTTAAATGTGTCAGTCTGAACAAGTCTGTTATCCGTTATGAATATAATTATCGGCATGTGGCCTGACTTATTTACAAAAAATAAAAGTCTGGTTTAACTTGTTTAAAAAAAAAGACAACAAAAATTTATCCAAACAGAATATACAATCAACAACACTAGTAATTCCATAGATATTCATAAATTTAATGTACATCTAAACAACATAACATAGAACAAAATTATTCAAAAAATCTGTTTAACCAATAAAATGGGATGAAATAGATTGAGGAGAGACAGAGGACTACTAAAAGTAGTATAAGAAATATAAAATAAAAATTAATATACTAGGCAAGTCTGGGCAGCTCTAAGGCCGAGCTTTTGAATTGGAGTCTAATGCCTTTTTATTAAACGAGCTTTTATACAAGTCCAAGCCTAATTCTAACAATTAATTTTAGACATGTAAATTCAAGCCTTCACGAGCCGAACAAAGACCCTAAACGACCTTGGTTCGTTTACTAGGTAACATATTGGAGTAGATATGTACGAGTCTTGAACAAATTTGAACATAATCTTTTATGTTAAAATGCATATAAAATGTTAGGACATCTGATATGCGACTAAGATTATTGTTTTTAAAACTAGAAAAATTTAAAGGTTTAGAATTTTAGTCAAAAATTTTCGTTTGAGATTTTTTTTAAACAAAAAATTATTAATACTTTTAGTTCGATTATCTATTATTATATTATCCAATTTAAATACAATATAAGCATTAATTTAATCAATCAATTAAATCAAATCAAATATAATACAAAAGTTTTCCTATTTAATTCCTAGTTGGTTTTTAAATTATTTGAATTATTCTTGGACATATTCTGATTTCTCATATCACATGAGTTTATTTAAACAAAGATGTTATGCAAAAAAAAATTAACCATTCACTTATAGATTAACAGTTATTATTGCTAAATTTTTTATACAATGATAGTGCTGAGTTTTGAACTAATGAACTCATGCAGGTTACTCAAATTCATCATCACTGCACCAATTCTAGTGGCTTGCGGTTATTAATTAAAATGATCATTTTTTCCCTCTGTTTTATAAATGAATTAATCATTAATAATTTTTAACGACAAATTAATTAAGAATAATTAATTACCTTCTTCTTTTATCTATTTTACGTGCTCGTAATAATTATGAGTTCTTTAAAAAAATTGGACATCGAAGACAAAGAATGAAGAAGAGGAAAGAGTAATTTTTTACTTTCCCTTTGATTTTTCGTTAAAATTATGGAATCAGTAAATACTCTTTTAGGTCCCTAATAAAAAATATGGTTGCCATTTTAGTTCTTTACCAAAAAAAATTAGTTAGTTGGTCCCGATGAAATTCAAAGTGGACCCATTTTAGTCTATTTGAGGGATTAATATGGGTTTTTTTTGAATTTGTGAGGGACCACGATTTCAACTAAATGGGTCCATTTTGAATTTGTTAGGGACTTCGAGACTATTTTTTTTCGTAAGGAACTAAAATGGGAACCTGTTTTTTGTTAGGGACCAAAAATGATATTTACTCTTACGGAATATGGATGGACCAAGGACCTGTTTGGATGAGCTTTTTTTTCTCCTGAAGTTGCTTTTTTTTTTGTTGAAAAAAAGCACTTTTCTTTTTTAGTTCGTTTGGATGTCTGCTTTTAAAAAAAGCAGAAGTCACAAAAAAAATTAAAAACCTACTTTTTTCTGAAACTAAAAATTTTAACTTCTAAAAAAAACAGAAATCAAAAGTCAAATATTTTTTTTCAAAATCTAAATATTTTTATAAAAATATAAATAGCTTTAACTTTTGTAAAAAAGACTTCTAAAATAAAGAAGAGATAAAAGTAAGTGCAAACAAACAGGCTCCAAGTCATCTGGGCCTACCCAAAATGAAAGTACATTATAATTTCATAAAAAACAAAGGGTACATTAGCAAATTTCATATTCTCTTCGGACATTCGCCATTTAAGTAAGAAAAGTGTGTGAGAAATTTGAACCTGATTTTGCAACGGTCATAAACTCATGAAGTTACCATCTTTTTTGACACACACATATATATATGAAACTCTCAACTGAATCATTCAGGAACCATAGCTTGCCCATCAATGGAGATCTTAGATTCAAGGTTGGAACTGCACGAAATTAACACCAGCGAATCTGAAGGATCCGACCCGGGTTCGGACTGGGTCGATTCGGAAGAAGACTCCGATTACGACATGCTTGATGAAACCCATAGCAAGTTCTCAAACCTCACACTCAGGAAAAAGGCAAAAGCGTGGTAATCTTATGATCCCATTTGACCCCATTATTCAAAATGGAATTTTTAAGCCTTATTTCGTGGTAATTTGGTGTTTGCAGCAATGTTGAAGGTAAGGGTCTGGAAACGACTGCAGATTCTTTCGAGGAGAAGTTTGAAAAAGTTCAGAAAACAATCGATGGTTAGTCCCTTTTTCCAGATTCTTGTTCTTTTTGAGTTTCAGAGTGAAGAGGAAAATGAAAGGTGGAAGCTTTTGCTGCTTTTTGAGGAGTTAATAGGGATATGGAGCTGCTTAACTAACAAAACATGATGTGGGTTTATGTTGGTTTTAAAAAGTTTCATATCTGACTCTCATTGTTTTGGTTGGCAGAGGGAACACTAGAGAAATTGAGAGTGGATGAATGCAAGTTGTATTTGAGGAAGAATTGTCTGAGGCTAACTGGAAACAAGGACACACTCATCCAGCGCATAAAGGAGCATCTAGAGTAATTATTTATTTATTTTATGAACAAGAAGTAGTTATATAGGAAAACTGTATGGTTTATCTGATTTTGTGTGATTTTCAGGATTATAAATGGTGGAGGGGAGAAAAAGTACCCGCCTTCTAGCTTTGTATTGAATTGCAAAGGTGAGTACTGAGTACTTATCAATTTTTAAATATGTTGATCTAAATGTAGCATTTCTGAAAATTTAAATATGTTGATCTAAATGTAGCATTTCTGAAAATTATAACCACCAAGTATCTGGATCAACTTGTAAGAGGTTGTTAGCTTAAACAGTAGTCTCGAGTTCTAGTCCCTAAGAAGGCAGCTGTGTTAAAACTTGATAGTTGATAGGGACAGATTTCCCACCCATATGGTCTTATCCACCCAGCTTGAGTCGGATTAGTCCAGTATTCATGAACAGATGGATAATATCAAATATCTATATATACATACTTGTTATAGGTCAATGATATTTGTTTAAAAGAAATAGTCCAAATGCTACTAACAAAGATAATATTCAGAGTCCAGTGTCCCACTTCCATAACACTTTTTTCAAAATATCTGTTTAGCCATTCACCGATATCTCCAAAAAAAAAAAAAAAAAAAACCACTCCCCGTTAAACCCGACTAGAGAGTGTGGGGTGGAGAAAATCCTTTTACGCAGTCTTATCCTTGCATAATTGCAAAGAGGCTGTTTCCTGGATTCGAACTCATAACCTTTCAGTCATGAAAAAGCAGTTTTACCACTGCTCCAGTCTGCCCTCTTTCCCCGATATCTCCAATATTAAGGAAATTAAATATATTTTCTTTTGACTTGTTTATATCATTTACAGTTCTGATTTCCATAATCCGTTTTAACAATTTTTATAATATATTGTATCCTCTAGAAGTGTAATCACAATCGCTTATGTTTGTTGGTAACTTGGTTGTGTCTCTCAAATTCTGTAGGCCTTGAATTTTTTTTATAATCTCAGGCTTCAGAATCTGAAAATTTACTTTATGCAGGTGATGCATGCACTGGTGATGTTGTTTTGTTTGAGCAAAATGTTTATGAAATGTAAGCTTTTCTTTTGGTTTATTTCTTTTCTCTGTTTCAATGCATTTATAGATGGCAGAGATCTCACCATTCTACATTTTTTATGCACTAAAATTTTTGAAGAAGGCATGCATTTATACATACTTCAGGAAGCTTGACATATGGTTAGGAGATAGTTTCTAAACAGAAGCTGTGAACATAATTCAAATATTATCTCATCCTTATCCCCAGACCCCAGTGTTGTTATCATAGGCGAAGCCAGGGGCTGTTAGGGTGGGCGCCCGCCCCCCTGAAATTTAGAGAAAGAAAAAAAAAATTAGAGTAAATAACATGTAAGCATGCTGATTGGTCGAGGAAGCTTCGTACTTATCCAAACCGAATGAAAGCATGGACGCGTGGTGATTTTTGCCGCATGGTGACTGTATTAACAAATGTGCCTATTATCATGGAAGCTTTGTAATGGTGTAAATATCAATTTTCGCCCCCCCAAGGATTTTATCCTGGCTCCGCCACTAGTTGTTATGCTTACTAGTACATGCCGTTAGATATTGTCCATTGGATAACTGACATCTAAAGGAAATTAAGATCATTGCTACAATTACTGCCATCTTCTTCCAGATTCCTTATAAGAATTGGTTTTCTCAGGTTCAACATAGTATCCAGGAGTGCCAGTGGTCCACCTTGTGGCAAAAGAATTGTTGCAGGCCGTATAGTGAAAGAAAGTTATGGTTCTGCCAAACAGCAACATACATTTACGGTGAGAAGAAGTTTTAGATAGTTCGTACTGACCCTATATGGTTGTTGTATAAGGCATCAATGACTTAAGCAGAGGCTATTTGCAAAGTAAAATTGTGCTATTATACAAGAAGAGTATCTGTCGCTTGTGTACCAAGCTTCACAAATCTTTAGACCTACAGCCTCCATTTTCTCGAAAGAATCTTTTGTTATATCCCAATAAAGATGCACATTATCTGTCTTTGGTAGCAGTATAATTTATTAAGCAACTAGCAAATAGGCTTTCTTTGAACCATTCTTTGGTTCTTCCATTATAACAATATGCATTTACTTGTTCTGGTACAGATTGAAGTTCTCTGGAGCAAGGGAGAACAGCCTCTCCCTCCCCTTTACCCCCTACTGATTAAGGGTCGAAACCTTTATAGGTTGAAGACTTTGAGACAGGTTCCTCATTGGGCAGCATTCCTTCTTCTGATATCATTTACTTGTTCCAAGTTCATTTAATGTTTCCTATGTACATGTCTTTAATTCAGAAATGGAAGGATGAAGAGAAAAGGCTGAAAATCTTGATGGAAAAACACTCTAGGGGATCTCTTGCTAGGGCAGATAGAGAAGGAAGGATACAAGAAAAGGAGAAGAGAAAAACAATTATGAAAAATAGGTACTTAAAGTATCTTGTCTTCTTACATTGTCAATACTAACTCTATTTATGTTTACAAAATAATTTCATATACTTCTGCACTGTACATGTTCAGGGTCTCCAAAAAGGATTCAGTAAGAAACCAATGTCAATCACATTCACACATTACATTGTCACAATATCAACCTCAAGAAACAAACGTATCCATTAATCCAGAAAAGTCAGAATTTCCATCTCGAAATTCAGGTTCATCTGCCAATACAAGAAAAGAAACATCTGCTATTGTAAATAAACCAGAAGCTGTAACTGAACAGTGTGGTAAGTCTGTTATGGGGTTTGACAAACTGGGAAGATCCATTGATTCAGGAAGAACATCATTTGTTGTTCACTATTTACATAATCAGCAAGCTTTGAATCACTCAGCTTTCAATATTGATCATATGCGGGAAGCTGAACTTAGTGCAAATCACAATTGCATTGACTTACTTTCCAGAGGAAAACGAACTATTATTGAGAAACACCACACTTTCAGTGCTGAGACAAACGGATTTACAGAGAGGAATCATCATAGGAAGCCTTTGGCAAGTGCAAATCAGTTTCATCCATTGATGCTCAACAGAGAAAGTTATAAGCCAAAACAACTGTGTAGACATTATTCCCGTGGGAGGTGCTATTTTGGGGACAACTGCAAATTTTTACATGATTTGAGCAACAAAGGGAATGCATGAATCAAAACTTTTTTTGTAGTGATATCATTTTACTGATACTGCGGAATTAAAATGATGTTTTTTATTGAAAAATAGATCTACTGGATTGTGTTACAAATGACATAATATCACACATTGTTCCATTTTTTTCTTTTCTTCTTTTTTTTTTTCAAATAAGAGGGCAAGCTTGGAGTGGTGATAAAGTTGTTCATTTGTGACTGAAAGGTCACAAGTTCAAATTTGAAAAATAGTCTCTTTGTAAATATGCAAGAGTAAGGCTGTTTATAAAGATTGTCTTCACCCTTATCTCGTTATTTGATGTTTAATGGAGAGCGGTTGGTTTCTTTTTTCAAATCGACCATTATTCTTACATCAAAATTACGTCTTTCGTGCAAATGAGACTGGCTTTAAGAAGGTACAATAACATATTAGGATCACAAACCACATATGTAGAAATATTAAGGATATAATTTTGAGGGTTACACTAAAGAAAATAAAGAATATAATTAATCTCAATGAGGGTTGACTCAATTAGTACAATAAAATCAAATTATGTCAACTCAAAAAGGTTTCGAGTACAACTGCTGCTGGTAAAGATGGGTTAGGCGCGTACATCCACGCGCGCGAAAGAAATTCTCTCTGATAGGGTTTCAGATACTTTTTTTGCTGCGAATTCGATGGACGAAGTGATGGATGCGAGTGTTGAGGCTATGCTAATGGCGAGGAAGAGTACGAAGAGGACCAAGAGCGGGGAGGAGATACCGATGGAGATGAAGATGAGGGAAGCTGTAATGGGATTCCAATCTGGTTCAGGTTTGAATGTGAAGCAACATTCCTTTGCTGACGTTACTGGTGAGGAGAATGGAGTAGCTGCGGAGACTATGCCTTGGTTAGCTGAGGATGAAGACCCCGATCTGGAGCCTCTGGACCCAAGCTTGGGCGAGATTTCTGAGTGGGGTTTTCAAACGATTTACAGGGAAGATGGTTTGGTAGAGATCAGGAGCAATAGAGAAGCTAGGGCCAGGATGAGGCAACGATGGAGAAACGCTCTTATTGTCAAGCTGTTGGGGAAGAGGATTGGGGTGGGTTATATGAAGAAAAAATTGGAATCTCTTTGGGCCAAAGCAGGAAGTATAACGGTGGCTGATCTAGGCAACGAGTTCTTCTCGGTGAGATTCAGTTCGTTGGAGGACCTTAATCTGGAAATTACGGGTGGCCCCTGGATCATCCTAGGCCACTATCTCGCAGCTAGGAAATGGGAACCTTGTTTCAAACCGGACAGTGCCAACATCCACAAGGTGGCAGCATGGGTTCGGCTACCTGGGATCCCCCAAGAATACTGTGAGTTTCTTCTTCTTAACCAGCTGGGTACCATAATTGGTAAAGTGTTGAAAGTAGATAGAACCACATCGACAGGTCATAGGGCTCGATTTGCTAGAGTGTGCATTGAGTTAAACTTATCTCAGCCACTGAGAGGGGAGTACATTCTTGATGGAGATAGGAAGAAGGTGGAATATGAAGGCTTATTTCTAATATGCCTTAAGTGTGGAAGATATGGGCACAACTCAGATGCTAGTCCAGACTTTGTCAGGCATGTTCCTGCTGAAAAAGAGACTCCCATCCCTGATCAACCAGTGAGGGATCAGTGTACATAAAGAGTAAGCCCGTGGATGGTAGTTCAGCGTAGGAAGAGAGTCCAACAACAATATCAAAGAAAGGAGACTACAGGTGGTAGGAAATTTGGGGAAGATATCTCCAACATGAAAAACCCGAAGGAGGCAGATGCTGTTGTTAGGATTGCTAAGAATGACAGTGTTATGACTAAGGTACCTAAGGAGAATGAGGGAAAGAAGAGGTCAGTTATTTCCACTTCAAGTGGAATGAATTTCACTGTTGTAGCAGTTAGCCAGCATAGGAAAAATACAGGGTATAAATCACCTGTGCCTGTAGTGAGGAAACAAGCTGCTAAGAAATCCAAGTCTAAAGGTAAGGGAGTGGATCAACCCTTTTCTTCAGGTGCTGCCTCATCTGGTAGCTTGGTGGAACAGAAGAGTAATAGTGTGGAGGGCCACATGAGTGATGGGAATTACAAGGGTGAAAGATGGGGAGACTTGATGATGGCTCTAGAGACCTCCATGGAGGAGGGTAATCCTGAACAGACAGGGGAACACACATCAGAGGGGTTGCTGTCCATGGGGAATGATGTGGATGATCCAGTCCCACCTGATATAAGCTTGCTACATGACTCTAAGAAGAGTAATGACCAGGCAGGTATGGAGGTTGGTCTTACTTTAGATGCTTTTTTAATCAATCCCATGAGTGTTGAATGTAATACTGTATGTAACACAGAGGATGCTGTTGATAGGGAATATGTTTCTGTAAGTCAGGATTTAAGTAGCAAGTGCTTTATTAACTTGCATTTACATCAAAATTCAGTATGAATATTCTTTCTTGGAATTGTAGAGGGGCTGCTAAAAAGCAATTTAAGAGTACCTTTTCTAGATTTTGTAGAAAGTATAATGTAGGAGTAGCTGTCATTCTTGAACCAAGAGTGAGTGGTTCTAAAGCTAGTAGAATAATTCGTAGTTTGGGTTTTTCTAATCATTTGACTGTTGATGCTCATGGTTTTTCTGGAGGAATCTGGGTTGTTTGGAATATCAAGGATGTGGTGGTTACTCTTATCTCTCAACATGAGCAGTTTGTGCATTGTTGGGTGGAATTTCCTGGTTTGAAGGGTTTCTTCTGGACAGCCATTTATGCTAGCCCTCATGTAACTAGTAGACAAGTGCTTTGGGAGGAATTGAAACATATTGGCAGAAGTATGGATGAGTCCTGGTTGCTAACTGGTGACTTCAATGAGATAGCCTTAGCTTCTGAGAAGAGGGGAAGGGGACCTGTAGATATCAACAAGTGTAACCTTTTTGCTAATGTTCTCAATTCTTGTGGAGTGATGGACTTGGGGGGTGGAGGAAATAGGTTCACCTGGAAGGGTCCTAAGTTTCTTAACTTGGATAGGGTGTATAAAAGACTTGATAGAGCAGTTGGAAATGAGGGGTGGAGAGCTATTTTTGAGGAGGATGATGTCCTTGTTTTGCCTAGGCTTTTCTCTGACCATAATCCAATTCTGGTTAGATTGGGGAAAGAATATTCTTGCTGGAGGGAGAGGCCTTTTAGATATTTGGCAGCTTGGCAGTATGATGACAGATTCATTCCATTTCTAAAAGCTAGTTGGAAGCCTGATGTTGGGTTGGTGGACAACTTAGTTTCTCTTGTGCCCATGCTAAAGGATTGGAACAAGAATGTCTTTGGTTTCATACAATTTAGAAAAAACAGAATCATAGCTAGAATGGAGGGCATCCAAAGGCAGCTTAGTTCTTGTAACAGCAATAAACTGGAGAAGCTTGAGGCTGAACTGAAAAAGGAACTCAATTTCATTCTTGATCAGGAGGAGCAATTATGGCACCAGAAGTCCAGGGGGGGTTTGGATCAAGGATGGAGACAGAAACACTAGCTTATATCATGCTAGTACTGTCATTCGAAGGAAAAAGAATAAAATCTTGAAACTCCAGGATGATAGAGGTCATTGGGTGGCTGAAGAGGAGGAGCTTATAAAATTAGCAAGGGATTTCTTTTTGAATCTGTTCAAAGATAACTCTGTAGAACCACTTTGGTTTAATACTAAGAACTCTTGGCCGAATATAAGGGATGATCAGGTTGTTAATCTGGGGCTGGACCTTTCTTTTGAGGAAGTGAAGAGGGCCTTTTTTCAAATGTCTCCTTTGAAGGCTCCTGGGGCAGATGGTTTTCTTGCAATGTTTTATCAAAAAAATTGGGAGATGCTTAAAGCTCAAATTTTTAATTGCATGCAGCACTACCTGAAGAATCCTAGTCAGATAGGTGAGATTAATCATACCCTGATTGTACTAATTCCCAAGATAGATAGGCCTTGCTTGATGAAACAATTTTGGCCTATTGCCTTGTGCAACACTATCTATAAAGGTTTCAGTAAGATTCTAGCCAATAGAGTGAAGCCTATTCTAGAGGAGCTGATATCCCCTAATCAAGCCAGCTTTGTGCCTAGGAGAAACATCCAAGACAATATAATCATTGTGCATGAATTAATTCACTTTATGCATAGAATGAAAGGAAAAAAAAAAGGTTTTTTTCAGTCAAGATTGACCTTGAAAAGGCCTATGACAAGCTGAGCTGGAAGTTTATAAGATCTGTCTTGGAGGAATTGCAATTGCCTGGAACCTTGGTGGAAGCTATTATGGGATGTGTGTCTAGCCCCAGCCTAGAGGTGCTTTGGAATGGTGCTAGAACTGACAAATTCCAATCACAAAGGGGAATAAGACAAGGGAACCCTTTGTCCCCTTATATTTTTGTTCTCTGCATGGAGAAATTATCCCATTTGATTTTGGATGAAGTGGAAAGAAAATATTGGGTCCCCTTGAGAGAAGGTAGGTCTGGTCCCCCTATTTCCCATATCATGTTTGCTGATGATATCATCTTGTTTGGAGAAGCAACTTTGAGCCAGCTCAACTGCATCACTACTTGCTTAGACAGATTTTCCAAGATGTCTGGTCAGTGTGTCAGCTTTGAAAAGTCATGCATTTATTTCTCTAAAAATGTCAAACAGAAAACTATGCAGAATATTTCTGATGTCAGTGGCTTCAAGATGGTCAAGAATTTTGGTAGATATTTAGGGTCTATGATGAGGCATGGCAGGGTAAGGAAGGACCATTATGCTGAAGTTATCTCTAGAGTTCAGTCTAGACTCCAAGGTTGGAAATCCAAGTGTCTCTCTTTGGTCGGAAGAATCACACTTGCAAAAAGTGTAATTTCTGCCATACCTTGCTTCCATATGCAGAACAATGTGCTGCCAGTTCATGTATGCAATGACATAGAAAAGATGCAAAGAAACTTTATATGGAGAGATGAGGAATCTAAGAGGAAGGCCCATTATGTTGCCTGGGAACAGATGTGTCAACCAAAGGAATGTGGAGGGCTTGGCATTATCAATTTAAGGTTGCAAAATGAAGCTTTCATGCATAAACTAGCTTGGCTGATTGTAAATGATCATAACAGCTTGTGGGTTCAAGTCTTGCTTGGGAAGTATGGTAGAAAAGTTGATCCCAACCGAAGCTTAATAGCTAAAAAGAGTGATTCTATTCTCTGGAAGAATATTTGTCTAGCTCGAAGCAAGATTTCACAGCAGCTGGAGTGGGTTATCAGGAATGGCAAGTCTGTTTTCTTTTGGACTGACAAGTGGGGAGGTTGGCATAAGACTATGTTAGAGCTGGCTTCAATTAAGCCTCCTATGACTGACCTGTATTATAAGGTTAGTGATGTAGTTGACCCTATTTCAGGAGAGTGGAACTGGAGCTACCTGGATGAGCATCTGAGTTCTTCTATTTGCAGAGAGCTAAGAAAGATCCCTCCTCCTAATCCTAGCAATTCTGAGGAAAGGCTCTTCTGGAAGAGAATTAAATCAGGTAAATTTGTGGTGAGGAATGCTTACTGCTGTCTCTTAAATTCCAATCAGGAGAGGGATAAAATTTGGACGTCTGTGTGGAAATGGAGGGGTCCTTATCGAATAGCTGTGTTCTTATGGCTAGCTTGCCTTGATAAGCTACCAGTCAGGAGCATCACTTGTCACTGGAGTGGTGGGGAAGTGGTTTGTCCTATCTGCTTAAGGGGTAATGAAAGTTTGATGCATGCCCTTAGAGATTGTATAAATGCTAGGAGCATTTGGGAGGCTTGGTTTGAAGGTAAGACTCCTGCGACTTTTCTCAGGTTTGAAGGATTGGAGTGGTTTAAAGTTAATTTGCGGAGGCCTTTCACTTCTCGTTTCTGGAAATCTTGGGAAGAAATATTTTTTTGTAACTTGTTGGTTCCTGTGGAAGTGGAGGAATGCCACCATCCATGAAGAGCTGTTCTCTAGACCCCAGGATCCGCTGCATAGGATTCTGTGCTTTTTGCAGGACATGAAGAGAAGCAGCAGCTGTGAGCCTTCTACTGTGGTTAATAATCTAGCTGTTATCCTTGGTGATTCAGTGCAGGTTAATGTCCATGAAGGGGTTAAAATATTTGTAGATGGAGCTGTTAACATGTCTACTAGTATTGGTGCTTGTGGAGGGGTTGTTTGCTCATATAAAGGGGATTGAATTAGTGGGTTTTCATGCAATTTAGGATTCTGTTCCTCATTGGAAGCAGAACTGGTTGGCATTCTCCATGGACTCAAGACTGCAGTGCAGTTAAACCTTGCTGACATATGGATGGGTTGTGACAGCATTGAAGCTATTTCCTGCTTGGAGGCTGATTCTGAAGCCTACATATTTTCTGAGTTAATTGATAGTATCAGGAAACTTGTTTTCTCCTTTGATCATTTTCACTTAGAATATGTTCCTAGGGAGGATAATTCTGTTGCTGACTTTTTAGCTAAGATGGGTTTGGAATATAAGGGGGAAGAGTTGAGGTTGTTTCCCTCTCCCCTTGGTAGAGTAGAATTTACTTGAGGTTCTTTTATGCAGAAATTGTTGTTGGAGCATGTAAGCTGTAACATGCATCAGCTGACTTTGTAGTTTTTCTGGGCTAGGCCCTCCTTTTATATCAAAAAAAAAAAAAAGGTTTTGAGTTCAAAAGTAAAAGACAACTTAACAGTTCAAAGTTATATAATACATCATATCATTCGCCGTTATTATGAACTTTTGTCTAAAGCCTATCCTCACCCTCAAAGATACAAATCCATTATAATGCATTACTGGTTTACTAGTTTTTCTTAGTTCTGGTGCATATAACTGAAATTGGAAATTTTGGTGCATTCTTATATGAATTTATTTTATACTGAAAAAGCTCTTTAGTCCAAAATTCTCCCGAACATTTTGATTGTAAACTTTCCTGGAACCAAAATAAAACTAATCAAAACTCAAACTGTCAGTTAATAATTTAGGATTATAATGATTTTGGATAAAGGTGTTGTTTGGACCTTTTTTAGTCCTTTAACTCTTGATCTCCTACATCTTCTTCCTTTCCCCATCATTTTCTTTATCTCTTTTCCCTTTCCCTATCTTCTTCTTCTTTATTTATTTATTTATGCCCCTTTTATTTTTATTTTTATATATAGGGGAGGTTATAATTACTATCTCTTGTTCTTACTACTAAATCTTAAACGTTGATTTTCATCAATCTAACAGTTGTAATTTATTGAGTCATACTTATTAATTAATTATTAATTTTCAATTACTTATAACTGTTAGATTAGCGAAAATCAACGGTTAAGATTTAATAGTAAAAGGTAGTATGAAAAAGAAGTAGTAAGTATAACATCTCCCTTTTATATATATATATATATATATATATATATATATATATATATATATATATATATATATTACTATTGTATTTTTTATTTTTATCATTCCGTTCATACCTTTTATTTGAATTCATCTATCACCAATCACCAATGCTAATTTTATTTTATTTTTGGTAAACAATCACCAATGCTAATTAATTTGGACTAAAAGTGTCATTGTTGTTATTTGGTTTTGGAATGCACGCAAGCCTCCATTGTAATTGTTATATGTCCTTCAAAGTTCACAATAACGTCCCGACTTAACGCTTGGTTACCTAATAATAATCATTCAATAAAAAACAAAATTTATAACAGGTGGGCACAGCTATGAATAAACTTGTGCATTAAAAATGTGTTCAGATGGTCTTTTTTTAATCAATAAGTAACTATTTTTCAAAATAATTTTTTCTATTTAATACCTGCATTTTGGATGTAACTCAAACAAAAATTAAAATGATATATATATATATATATATATATATGTCATGTCACCTCAGAACTACGTCGTTTTGTAAATCAAAAAAATTAATGAAGGGTATTTTGATATGACATAAATAAACTCATATATATATATATATGGGGTTTATATTTCTGCAACTGTTGTACTTGCAACAGTTAAATACTTGCCATATATATACGTGAAAACATTAAATATAGAAAATCATAACCATACAAAAGATAAAAGCATTAAATGTGAGGAATCATATTATACATATGTCATTATTGTACGTAAATCGGCTGTAGAAATAATTTTACCTATATATATATATATATACCTATATATATATATATATATATAAGATATGATATTGTTACTACTAATTAATGTTACTATCAATGTCACTACCAGTTTGTTTCATCGTTAGATTGATTATGTTGATCCCACGATTCTTATTTAACTTTCTAAAAATCTTCTTTCTTCTCCCTATATTTAATACTTTATATTTATTTCCACCTTTGTATGGTTATGATTTCTCATATTTAATGCTTTCACATTTAATATGGGGAATCATAATCATACAAAGGTGAAAATAAATATAACCGTTGGATTAACATAATCGATCTAAAGGTGAAACAAACTAATAGTGACATTGATAGTAACATTAATTGATAGTAACAATATCCTCTCTATATATATATATATATATATATATAAATATATATAGGCAAAATTATTTCTACAGTCGCTTTACGTATAGCAATGACAGGTGTATGATTATGATTCTCTACATTTAATGCTTTCATCTTTTGTATGGTTATGATTCCTCACATTTAAGGCTTTCACATATATATATATATATATGACAAGTATTTGACTACGGCACATACACCAGCTACAGAAATGTAAACAGCATATATATATATATATATATATATATATATATATATATATGAGATGGGATCCACTGACACTGGTGTCAAGTTTTAAAATTTGACACCAAATCTTGACCGTTGATTTTCGCCAATAAACGGTTATCATTTATTGGCAATTAATGATTAATTAATAAGTGTAATTCCCAATAAATGATAACCATTGATTGGCGAAAATCAACGGTTAGGATTTGGTGTCAAATTTTAAAGTTTGACACCGGTGTCAAAGGATCCTGCCCCTATATATGAGGTAGGATCCTTTGACACCAGTGTCAAATTTCAAATTTGACACCTCATCTAAGAGTCGTTAGATCAAAAAAGATCAACAACTCTGATTTGTAAGCATGTGACACCATTGATCTTTTTTTATTTAACGGCTATCAGATGAGGTGTCAAGTGTCAAAGGATCCTACCACACCTCATCTGAGAGCCGTTAGATCAAAAAAGATCAACGACTCTGATTTATAAGCATGTGACACCATTGATCTAACAGCTATTAGATGAGGTGCCAAATTTGAAATTTGACACTAGTGTCAAAGGATCCTACCTTTTATATATATATATATATATATATATATATATATATATATATATATATATATCATATGGATTTACATTTCTGCAGCTGTTGTACGTGCAGCAATTAAATATTTGCCATATATATACGTGAAAGCATTAAATGAGGGGAATCATAACCATACAAAAGATGAAAGTGTTAAATTAGGGGAATCATAACCATACATCTGTCGTTGCTGTACGTAAAGCGGCTGTAGAAATAATTTTACCATATACGTATGTCTTTACTTTTCTCCAATGACTTGACGTCCATCAAATAAATTCAGGAAATTATAACTATACAAAGGTAGGTGAAAGCATTAAATACAGAGAATTATAACCAATCAATGATGTAAGATTTATTGCTGGATGTCCAACAGTCGGAGAAAGAATATGGTAATTGTACCATATATATATATATGCAGAATCCTTTGCCACCAAGTTTGACATCAAATCTTAATAATTAGTTTCTATCAATTTGACGACTATAATTTATTACGTCATATTTATTAATTAATTATTAATTTTTAATAAAGTATTAAGTGTTAGATTAATAAAAAACAACGATTAAGATTTAATGTCAAATAAACGGTGTCAAATAATCTCTCTCTCTCTCTCTCTCTATATATATATATATATATATATATATAAAAGTTACAATTTCATGTTTCTAGAAAAAACAGAAGGGAAAAATTATAATTACATATCCTTTAAAATAATTTTATATAAAAATTTATCAGAAAAATATTTCTGCAATTAATGTAGATAAGTTATCTGCATTTATTTTCAAAACGACATCGTTTTGAAATTTAAAGATTAAAAAATTATAATTATAAAGACTATAACAACTTGAAATATATTAAAATTACAAAAACACCATGATTTCCGTCCCAAAACTATATCGTATTAGGCTTACTGCAGATAACTTATCTGCGATAACTGCAAAAAAATGAACCCTAAAAATATTTATTAATTTTAACATTCAAATACTTTTTACAAGAGTCATAAAAAGATCCTTTTACAAAAGCCAACCAAGCAAACTCTAATTAAAACTAAAACTATCTAAAGATGCACAGGCGCCTAAGAATACCCAAGAGACACTTCCTATTTTTTGACCCACAAATTTAAAAAAAAAAAAAAAAAAAAAAAAGCTTCAGCAGCTACTGAGCTCCAAAAAAGTAGCTATAGATAAGTGCTTACATTGGCCAAAATGCCCCAAAAATTTCTCTGACGTGTTTGTCCCATTATCAAAAGGCTAATTCATCAATTTCAATGAGTGCAAAATAAAACAAGAAACTATTTACAATTGACACAATACATGTCATTCCTTCCAGAGTGAAAAAGCAGCATAATGGTTCCCCTACAAGTACACCATAAGCTTTATGTTTATTTAAAAGTAAATAATTTTCTCACTTCATCCCTTACGACTCAATCATTTTATAGCTGAATTTGGTGCTATCATTTGCTTACTTAGGAGGCAGGAGGGGCATTGATTTGTACTTATAAGGCTTTGTAACTTCACTGTGCATTACTGACAGAATTGTTCTTGTTAACACCTTGCATGTCCATAGGGGAGTTACCAACAGACCCTAGGGTCTGAGAGTTTAACTGTGGACTAGCTGGACAAGCTTCAGGATTACCAGCACTCATGGCATGCATTGCACCTGAGCTCATCTGTTGGGGGCTCATTGGAGTTCTTTGACTCATTTGCTGAGGGCTTGTTTGCTGCTGTGTTTGTTGGTTCAATGGTGGAACTCCCATTGTAGATGGTGATCCCACCTGTGGAGGTGAAACAACTGCTTGCAACTGTGAAGGTGTTTCCTGCTGCTGCTGCTGCTGCAGCTGTTGCTGTTGTAATTGCAACTGCTGCTGGTGCTGGTGCTGTTGCTGTTGCTGTTGTGGTTGTTGAAGTTGCTGCTGATGCTGATTCATATAAAGATTCATACCTGCCATCAGCTTTGGTGGACCCATAGGTCCAATTGCTCGCTGCAGTGTACTGATATTATTATTCCTATTCAGAGGCTGACCCAACATTGAAAGACTAGCAGAGCCAGGGTGCATTTGCCTGGAACCTGAGATGCCAGCTATACTAGACTGGGTTGACCCTAACATGATTCCACGATTCTGTGCCATTCTAAGCTTTGATAAAATGTCAGTCTGTTGAGTTATTGATCCAGGCCTAAATTGTTGGCTCATAGAATTAGTAATATTTGAAGCCTGGCTTGGATTCATTGGGTTCTGACCTATATTTCCCATGCCAGCAATAGATGTCATTGGTGCTGAGATTCCAGTTCCTCCTATTCCCCTCGCAGCTCCCATTCCCATAGTATTGCCCATGTTTCCAAGCCCAACCATGCTATTTCTCAAGTTACCCATTCCCACAGGTGTTCCAAGTCCCATCATCATTTTCCTTTGCATTTGTGGCTGTTGTTGCTGGTGTTGTTGCTGTTGCTGTTGCTGTTGCTGTTGCTGTAACATCTGAATCTGGAGAGCAGAAGCTTTGTTGAGCATGTGATTACCCAATGGCAAGTTGGAGTTCTGTCCAACAGCATTCAAGTGTGAAAGCTGATTTGTCCCAAGCATCATAGATCTCTGGAACTGGGGATTCTGCTGTTGAATGATATGGTGTTGATTTTGTTGCAGCTGCTGTTGCTGTTGCTGTTGCTGTTGCTGTTGCTGTTGCTGTTGTTGCTGCTGCTGCTGCAATGCTTGTTGTGAATCCAGTTGTTGCGGCCTTGGAGGCATTGAAACACCAGAGAGAAGTCCTTGGGACATCTGTAAGGCCTGAGGGTTTCCAGCTGGCGACATCCTTGGGTGAGATAAATTTAAAGATGCATTATTGCCACTAGCTGGTTTTGCAACTTCATTGGATGACTGGCCCAGAATTGGTTCTCCATATTGCTGTTCAACTAGCGCATTATTAGGAGGTGCACTAGATTGACTGCCCAATGGAGGGTTTACCCGGTTTGGTTTGAGTTGGATTCGGTCCTCTTCCTTCACATATCCTTCCCGTAATATCTACAGTAGGCACATTAAACTATTAAAAAAATTTGACAAATATTTGTCCTTCATATGGTTTTCAGTTCGGATAGAGAAACATACCAGTGAACTGTACTGTTTTGCAAGCAAATCCGCAAAATGCTGATCCACAAAAATGTCACATAAATTAGAGCAATAAACTTGCAGAAACTCCATTATATTATATTGAATGGCAAGAAATTCAAATGTTTGGGCTACAACAACTTTGATAGTTCATTAAATTTCAATAGCAGTTGCATGGTCAACAATGACCAATACACCATAAAGTTAATGATGAGAAATTAAGGAAATATCCACAAACTATCTTTCCAAAATAACAATGGGGAATACATGGTGCCTTAGGACAAAATGGAGGTTGTAGGAGATAAACAAGACAAGTGTGCTGAGGAAGTGAAAGTCAATGTTGATATATGACAGAAACATTATGGCCAAATTATACATGAAAGAAATGAAAGGAATAGTAGCAATGGGATAAAATGGCAAAGGGTCTCAAAGCCACAAGGTTCAAAATGGTGATAAGAAAGAAGAGAAGCCATGACAAATATAGATGGGCATGAATATCTGAATGGCTTAAGAGAGGATAATATGACAAAAGGTGAAAAATAGTTCAAATAATTGAAGCAGAATGCATTCAACTAACTTCGGATGAAAATTATTATGTCTACCATGAAACTTACGGTATTAGGCAATGTGGCGAGATGATCCTCTGCAGCTAGGAAATCAACATCATCAATGTCCCCATAATGCATGACCACAGTGCCATCAGATGGCTTCTCAGCCATTATCATCCTAGTACGCAACCTGGGAACTACGGAAACAACATTTCCTGTAGAAGAAAATAGTATGTCAGACAAGAGAAAGAACTATATATGGCCAAGAACAAGACACCGAGCAAAAATTACAACAAACCTTGAACCACACGCTCAGGCACACAGAAACTTAAGACTCTCATTTTGCACCCATTCATACTCCCACCAACGAGTGACTTTGACAAAGAATTTGTCTCATCTATCAATCCTTCATTATTAGTTGCATTGGCCAGACATGCTCCAAAACACTCTAGTGAATATGTATTCTGCTTTCCTATGGGATAATCATCAGCCTTGTTCTTCTTAAACTTAAGTTGATGCCTGATAGAAATCCATAGGTTATATGTAAGAACAGGAAAATAGACTTCAAAAAAATTAAAAACATAAGAACCTGACCCTTCCACATTGTATCAAAAGCAGGAGTAAAGGATAGCAGGTAAAAAAAAATCAGATTATTATTAAAAAATAAGATAACAGAAAACTTAAGATGATAACTTGCACACACTAAATCTCTTCTGATCTCCAAGGGAGTGAAAAAATAATGCCTGATTAAAATGCTAATAAGAGCCTTCCATCACCACCACAGAATACTTGTATTAAAAACTTAAAATAAAAAATAAAAAATGGAGTTCCAACTGCAGTTTTAAAATTGCGATGCAGTTTTAAAATTTGAACAGTATACCTCATTGTCACCATGTCAATTTTCGAGAAACGTTCAAGCATAGATTGAAGACCTTGATCAACCAAAGCCGAGGTCCCAACTGAGGGACTACTTGCATTCAACGGGACACCATTACTAACACTAGCAGGAGAACCAACTCCACTCATTGCTGGGGCCTTGGGAAGGGAATTAGATCTCCGTTTTGCAGCTAGTTGTGCCTGTTGTTGCCTTTGTGAAGAATCAATAGCACTAGAAGTCAAAGATGGAGTTCCAACTGCAGCAGGAACTGAGGCCATTGCTGTCTTCTCCTTTTGTGATGCTCCAGGTGCAGCAGCCATTGAAGATGGTCCAAAACTTGGTCCAACTGAACCATTAGAAAATTCACCAGATTTCGAAGATAATGGGGAGTGAGCTAATGCCCCAGTAGATAAGCGAGGACTCTGTACTAATTTCCTTTTCTGAAGCTGGTCCTCTTTTCTCGCTTCTTTCTCCATATGCTGACCAAGATTATTCCAGGTTGTCTGAGGGAAACTAGGTCTGATGAATGCATTTTGTGGCAATCTTTGCTGCAGCCGTAATTGTTGAGGATCTAAATTGCTTGTCTCCATTTCCATCTCACTTTTATTGCGGTTTACCTCTAAACCATCTATTTTTTCCATTTCAAACTGTTCTTCCTTAGCAACGAACCTCATGACCGGCTGATTGGAAGCAAACTGAATAGCCCCTGCATCTTGATTCATCCCACCTTCAAAAACCTGCGGGGAAAACTTCTGAATACCACCACTTGAGTACTGAATACCTCTGGGCATTGCTTGTTGTTGTAATAATGTATTCTGCCAATTCATATCCGATCCTTGAAGAGCTTCAACATGTGAGCCTATTTGTGGCTGCTGCATTGCATCAACACCTGTGGAAGCAGGCCTCATTCTTTTTGCAATATTGGATAAAGGAGATGCTTGTCCGTCCTGATTTTCCCTTTTTCCATGAAGAGAGGCACTTGAGTTTGCGTTATCAGCATATGAAATCACAATATCTTGCGCAGCAGGAGAAGCCCCTGATGGATTAATAGCAGAAACTGATCCATGCTCCTGCAAGCTTCTTGGAGTTCCAGCAGCCATTTGATATCTTGGTTGTTGGGACATCATTAAAAAGCCTGGGATGGAAGAATCTGGTATAAAATTCTTAGATCTCAAGGCCATAGCCACGTTTGGATTAATATTTTGAACCGTTGGATTTTCAAGGGTTTGCTGCACAATAGCATTAGATGCAGTAACTCCTGAATCACCCAACCTGTTAATTGAACTTTCTTGTACTTTATCTATGCATACTTTCTTCCCATGGATTTTATTACTTGAAGTAACAGTATACTCTGGCATATGCCTTAATCGTTTTCTCTTCAAATTGAGCTGCAACATGAAGCTCAACATCATTAAGATGTATACACCCATACAATAAGTTCATCAAGGGAGAATCTAGCCTGTTTATACCTTTGTTGGAAGTGGACTTTCACACAGCCGCTCCAACTTAGGAGTAGGATCTAGAAGAAGTTTTGGTTGTAATGCTTTCACTATCTTTGATTCGACTTCCTATTATCAATTTGAACATATATAAGTGACATAAATATCCAAGAAAAGATAAAATTATACTAACTGGTCACTCATGAATGGCGGCAGATCATACTCACCATTAGATCACCATATGTCCAAGACTTATCAGTAATGGATGGGATGTCCTTCACAATATTCTCCAATGACATCTTGAGGCATACTTTACTAACAGCAGGAGAACTATCAGTAGTCACGGCACCAGCCCCCTTTTCAGAAGAGCATCTTCGATAATCACGCACCTGGAAAGTTGCAGAATCAATACAAAGCTCAACCTTATAAACAGTATGCACCATTAAAAGAAAATATTAAATGGTGATAAAATTTGGAACTTGCTAAGGAGAAGCAAGTTGCAAAGAGAAAAGAATGGAAATAATGCAAAACAGCGAACAAGAAGCTCTCTGCAACCAAAGAAAAGAAAACCAAAAGTCGAGAGGAACACTAGTATTCCTCTATGAACAGTAAACACTAACCAAATTAAAGTCGAGAGGAAATTTTGTGACCCTTAAATAATTTTTCATAAGAAAATAAATGGAAATTTAAATATTACCTATAAAAGAAAAGCATACCAAAAATGAATAAGGCTCACCTCACATATAAGTGCTCCATCAACATACTTGGCAGGTATATCATCCAGAATATCCCCAGGCAAGTGACCTGACTCAATGGCCTCCAAATACATCATTACAAAGAAACATGAAAGTAAGTACATAAGGTGGAAACAAGTAGATCAAATCCAGAAGCACTCAACTCAAATTATGAAGCTCATTCATGCCAGTTTATAAGAATTAATTGAATCAAGCCAAGAGTCTTGAAAGATTAGTACGAAACTTTTCACACATGCATACAAAATGCTTATTATACTTGTAGAAAGTGTTGAATGTCCCACTTGATGAAGGTAATCCTTCAGAACATAAAAGTTAAAACTTAAAGAATGAGAAAATTATAGAATTCCAAGAGAATTACCAAGAAAAGGCTTTCAGATGATCTATCATAGGGATGTAACAACTTTGGAAAATCTTGATATTTTGACTGATTTGCAGTCTCATTCTGAAAATTCATAAATAAAATAAGTTAGAAAGAAACATACAAGGTCGACTAGAAAAATTTTCTTTATTTTAGGTAATTCCTTGAACTTAAGCAAAATATTAACTGTTGTTTTAAACAAACCTCGAAGGGTTTCCCAATTGAATAACCATCTGGGAACAGGTTCAACGTGAAAGAAGCTTCCCTCTCTGTCAAAACAAGTAAGCACCACAAAAATCAGGATTTGTACACAAGTTAAGCGGTCAATATAATTTAATAACTAACCTGCTAATGAAGGAGTCTCAGATGAAATAGATGAATTGGGCATCCGAGCAATGATTTCACCAGCCTCAACAAGATCACTCTGTATAAAAAGGATAAACTTAAAGCAATCAAGAAAGTAACTTAAATACCAATATATTGAATAATTTCCCCTATTTGCTTTGATACTTCTACTAGTATTGAACTTTAGTCAAATTGCAGATAATATGCTGGCCAATTGCAATATAACTATAAGGCACAGCCTAAGGAGGACACCAACTACTATGTGTTTGGATTAGCTTATTTTGTGTTCAAGATTGCTTGCAATCAAAAGCTTCCTGAGAGAGCTTTCAAAAAAAAAATGACTTTTTACCCTAAAATAATCAAATCCAAACATACTCCTAATGTGTTAATTTAACGCAGAAAACCCAAGACTTTCAATTCCTAAATATTCTTAACCTATATTCTTAACCTCTTCCCCTCCTTAGAGATCCAATCTTCAAAATTGGTAGTCACAAATATCAGCGATATGTAGTAGTTGCATACTTGTATTTGCCCATCCAACCAACGGATGCAATTTTTTCCCACCTTTTAAACTATGATATCCAACAGGGAGAAAACAAAAATATCATAATGATTTAAACACCTCGCCTCCTATTCAATCTTCATAAGTACCCTATATAGTAAGTAGCATCCATTCAGTACTTTGGCGTGTCATAATCTCAATTACACAGAATATAACATTGATTGAAGCTTCAGCAAGCTTCACTACTAAACACAGACAGTTTAAAATCAAAATACACCACCATATTTATATTTCACTAGAAGGTTAGAACAAATTTCTCCTACCAAAAAAAAAAAAAAAACCCTAAAACAGGAAAATCATGCAAATAAAAGCAAAAGCACAAACTTTTGAAATCAAAGAGCAAGACCCAGAATCCTATTTTGCGGTTTCCTCTCGAATTTCAAGTGAATCAGTCGAATTATTCATCTTACCTGGGACTTGGAATTCTCGGATGCGCCATCGTGGGAAGCTTCGGGTGGAAGGGGAAGGGACTTAGGGCGATACCTAGTGCCAGTATTTGACACCTTGAAGGAGACCCCCATTGGGGAACTCAGAATTTTGATTAGATTGGGAAAATCAAAACCCTAAAAATTTACAGAAAACAATAAACGAGAGAGATGAGAATGGAGGTGTCTGTTCTGTATCGTGTTGAGTTGGGTTTCAAGTTTTCAACTGATTACGTACTCATTCATTCCTCGGATATCCGCTCTCTTTGTTTGGCTTCGATTTCCTCCTGCTCCTCTTGGGTTGTCCAGGGAACAAGTACCCTTCTTTAAAATAAAAATAAATAAATAAATAAATATTGTTTTTGTTCCTAAATTTCACGATGCCCGCTTTAGTCCCTAGCAAATAAAAATGCTTATCGTGGTTCCTAAGAAATTCAAAATGGACCCATTTTAGTCCTTTTAGGGACTAATATGGGTATTTTTTGAATTTGTGAGAGCCACGATTTCAACTAAATAAGTCCATTTTGAATTTCTTAGGGACCACGATGAGCCTTTTTATTTGCTAGGGACTAAAATGGGCATCATGAAATTTGCTAAGGACCAAAAAAAATATTTACTCAAAAAAAATTCAAGTATTAAAATATTATCAGTAAAAATATTAAAATCGGATAATTTAATTTTAATAGTTATTTTTCATAATTAGGGTGTAAATGAGATAGGCTCTTGGCTTGAGTTAACTTGCCCCAAATAGTATAGTCTTGAGCTCATTATAAAGCTTGTTTAGAAATCAGGCCATTGATTTCGCCTCCAAACCCAGTTCGTATTTTTTAATAAATAATATTTTATTTTATTTTATTATTAATATAATAATATTTTATTTTAATAACTTTATATATTAATATTTTCTAATAAAATAATATATTATTATTTTTAATAAAATAATATCTTATGATTTTTTTATTTTTCGTAATCTTTTCTATTTTCACTTGGAAAATTCATGTTTTCTTAATCCTAAATTACGTCGTTAGTGTTCTTTATCATTTTCTCATTCACCAAATTTCGCTACTCTTCTGTTCCTTTTTCAAATTTTCATCACTTCCAAAACATCTATTTAGGAGTGGCAATATGGCTTGAGTCCGGCGGGTCAACTCGCCAACCCGCCAAAACGGCGCGGGTTGGGTTGAGGTATTCAACCCACCAACCCACCTCAACCCGCTCCGCGAAGTGGGTCAAAACGGATTCAACCCGCCGTGGGGCGGGTTTACTCGCCGGGTTATAATATTTTTATTTTTATTTTACAATTAGGTAGTATTTCATTAATTCTTAAATTTTTGTGATATCCAAAATAAAATTTATCTTAGTACTTCTTAGAAAAAATAAAGAATAACAATTTTATTTATGACAAATGATATCTATATATAAATTCTTAAAGAATGTTTGACAAATATTAGTATACATTTAAGATTGAGACTACAAAAATATAGAGAAGTGTGAAATAAAATAAAATAATATCAAAAAAAATTCATAAAAGATAATTTATTTTTGAATTTTAATTAATTTTTTTTAATTGGCGGGTTGGTGGGTTAACCCGCCAACCCACCATAAAACGGGATGGGTTCATTTTTTCAACCCATATTTTGGCGGGTCGGGTCGGGTCAACCCAAATTGCCACCCCGATCTATTGCTCACCATCAACTCTGAAGACTTTCGCAACTGATAGTAAGTCATCATTATTTGTACATTTTGCTCCTTTTATCTCATTGACAAAATTGTTTCTTTCCAAAATTTATATTAAAAGAAACAAAATAATCATAACCATATTTTACGAAATGCAATATGTCATTTTTGGAGACTTAGGTATCTTTGACAAATCAGGTCAAGCCTTAGTATTTTTAAAAACCAAGCCAAGTCAAGTTTATAATTTGGTTTGTATAAGACTAACAAGTTAAGTCAAGCTTCAAATAATTTACACAAACCTAACTCACTTAGGCTAAAATTTGGTTTAACTTGGCTCATTTATATCCCTAGTTATAACTTATTGAATTATACATATTAATAAATTATTAATATTTAATAAATTATAATTCTTAAATATATGAAAATTATAGGTTAAAATTTAATGTACGATTTATTATTTTTCCCTGGTATAAAAAAATTGCGCCCTATTAAAAAAAATGGAAAAAAAATATTTATTGTATTTTAAATTCGCTAACGATTCGTTTTGAGTTAGAAAACAAGGGTTTTGTTATGGATATATATCATATCCTAACTACCTACCAAAGAATCCATCAAAGAATAAATGCTTAATTATTCTCACAATATCAAATAACAAAGCTACTCAATATAAAGCCCTTATCTTAACAGAAAAGAAGTTGAATCTTACTACAACTGGGAGATCTACACAAACCCTAGAGGTAATCCTTATAAATAAGAGGCTAAAGACCCAGGTACACACTTTTTGACCTATTTACAATTATCGCCAACATTGTGCACACACCATGTCTTGGCTATAAACCTATTGCTTATGCGCAATGATTGAAGAATTGGCTATAAGCCAATCTAAATACCTATCTGTAAGGTATATCTGAGCGCATAATACAGTCTTCTAGGATCTAACAGATTTAATGTTTCTCAATAAGGTAATTTTATTTTCTACACATACGTAAAAACATAAGAAGTAATAACCTCCGAAAAAAATATTTCTTTTGAGTTTGGAAAAAAAAAATATCTTGTCGCTTTATTCGTATTGACTTTTCCATTTTAATTAATATCTATGTAAAAGAAGTCAACTTCGCAACAACAGCGATTATATCAAATCATTTATAATTTTTAACAATTCAAAACAGAATATAAAATATGATGAAAGTTATACTTACAACCTTTTTTTTTTACAACCTCTTACAATCATATCTTAACACCGTTGATTTCCGCAATCAACGGTTATCATTTATTGTGAATTAATAATTAATTAATGAGTTTAATTTGAAAAAATCATAACCGTTGATTGACGAAAATCAACGGTGTTAATATATGGTTGTAAGAGGTTGTAAAAAAATGATTGTAAGTATAACCTTCCTCATAAAGTATTGCAATAAGCCAATAATGATAAGGAAGAAACATAGGACCCGGCCTAGGCTACCATGAGAATAAACTTTGGATATCAGATTTTTTTTTTTTGGTAACACGAGGGAAACTGCAAAGTCAAAATGAATTGACCACCCAAAAAAACACAAAACAAAACAAAACAAAACAAAAATTAGGGATAGTGACCATTTTGTCACATTTGACAAAAAAAATTACCAGACTGTCACGCCAATAGTAAGTTTTCCCAAAATGTTACGTGGCATATTTCGCTACACTATGTAGCGAAATATGTTTGCATATAATTCGCTACACAGTGTAGCGAAATATGTCATGTCAGGCTACACAATCAGCAAAAATGACACGTGTCAAGCAGGCAGAAGTTCACTACACTGTGTAGCGAATTCCATGTTATTTCAAGTGGATATTGACTCAAGAAAATCAACCTCGAGCTATGAGTTTTTCACTAAACTCAGATAGCATTAGAGGTGGATCTTGCAGACCCAGTTACTAAGAGTTTGCCTGAACTTGTGTTCGAGAGGCATGTTACTTCTTTGGGTCTTAAGAGGATCCCAGACTTGCATTAAGCAAGTGGGAGTTATTGGTTTCATTGTGCTCTTGGAGTAAGACCATGAAACAATAAAATAATTTTCTGAATTTCATAAATAAGGTTTTATTTATTTATTTTGCGCACTATTTACAAACATAAAAGTCCGGATCAAATTGTGGAGTATATGATCATATGGATACGTTCATGGAGGACATGATCATAGGTTCTCACAATTGATGAATGGATTCACAGCTGTTAAATAAAGTTGGGCACTTTATTTAGGCTGCAATATTTTATGAAATGGTTTTGTCCGAATCATTGGAAAATATTAGTGTGAATTAACATTCACATTGAAAGGATCAAGGAGAGATTTGATTAAGGTTGTTTTTCTGTCATAAGGTATCAAATCTCCAGTTAACTATAGTTATGTGATTGCTCTTAATCCTGAGTTTATTATAAATAGGTAATCAAATAGTTTTCATTCTTTGATTTACCAACGGGTGAGGTTCGATCTATTGACGGCCAATAACTCGGTATTTTGGGAGTGAGATTATTTGATTATCGGTATTTATGAGATAAACAACATGGAATTTGTAGGATATGTCCCCTTGATATGTTTCGGTACTTGGATATTAAAGACACTGGCCAGTGCATGTAATCCATTAAAGAAACTATCATAGTCAAGGGAATAAATAATTGATTGAGTTACAGAAAACTTGTCAATCAATTATAGACATTCTACAAAGGGGCGATGCATATTCATGTTATAAGTGTTGTTAATCTTGGAGTTCAAGTTCGGGCTTTTAGTGGAGTAGCACCGAATTAGATAATCATTCGTTGATTATCAGGAGCCTTGATTAATAACAGATGGTAGATCCCCAAGCTAGCTTGAGACAAGGGATGGGGTATTTTTCGGATAGATGATGACTTATGGGTTACATGATCTTGGGTTTTACGACTCAAGTTTGTATCCAAAAGAGCAAGTGGGAGATTGTTGGGTTTGCTCTTTTACTAAAGCCCAAATGGGTTATTAGTATGAGAAGAGCCCAAGGAACCTAGAGCCCAATGAGCTAGGGTTTCTTGGAACCCATATAAATAGTACCTCTTAAGTCATCAGCCTCCTAGGTCTTTTTTGTGAGAAAGAGGCAAGCTCAGAATCTAATCAGTGCCCACACACTTCCCCTTCCTCCTCGAGAGATAGTTTGGAAGATCTGCCACAGTCCAGCTTCAAGGAGGTTGTTCGTGCTGCGGCGCTGAGGTGAGCTGTTCGTGAAGAGGAATCCTACAAGGGAAGATTCTACACGAGACCTGCGCACCGAGAGGTAATTGTGAAACAATGATGATTCGGTAAGCATACCAATGTACTAGGTCCTAAATCGCTTCCGCATAAATCTAAGATTTCCTTCAAATAATTGAATTAATTAATTTTGGATAATTAACATCAAGACAAATAATCGTTATGGAAATTATTTTGATTTCAAATTATCCTCATAAATGATAATTATTATGATTGTTGCAATCTAGATTAATAATTAAGTCAGCTATTTGGATGATTTAAATCTAGAAAAATAATTAGAGAAAATTTCCTAAGAGAGTTCTTTTATTTTGCGAGTAATTTGTGGGTTTTCTGAAATGGTCACGGAATAACACACGTTGCATAC